CAACTAGGAGGTTCTACTACATTTTTAGTGCCTGATAAAATTGTATACACTGGAGGTGTTAGTTTCCTATGGCTGCTGTGACAAACAACAGCAATATATTCTCTCATGGTTCTGAAGAACAAGGTGTTGGCAGGGTCATCGTCCCTCCAAAAGTTCTAGGGGAGAGTCTGTTCTCTGCATCTCTCCTAGTTGCCATCAACCCTGGACATAACTAGGCTTGCAGACACTCTAGCCTCTGCCTCCACCTTCACGCGGTTTTCTCCCTATATGCCTGGCATCACTACATGGATTTCTTACAAGGACACCAGCTTTATTTTTAGGACTCATTCTTATCTACCATAATTTCATTTTAAACTGAATTATATATGCAAAGATCCTATTTCCAAATAAGGTGACAGTCACAGGTATTCTTGGGGACACAACTCAGCAAACAACACTCAGTAAGTTCTTATTTAATGGGAGCAATAGCATACTGTATGGGTTACATCACTAACATGACACACCTTCACAACCCCCGTATATTTTCTACATTATATACCTTTTGAAGTAGTGGGTATGAAGAGATTGCATGGTATTTTCAGTCAAAAACCTATCACTTCCAAACTTCAAGGGAATCCTACTGTATCATGAGTCTAACTTGCAATGAACAAGTACGTGATCACCATACTAGATATTTATGGGTATCTAGAATCCTGGCATAATCCCAGGACTTAATCTCACACAAGATGGTGGGGGAAAGTTCTATAGCAATTCCCAGGTACACTGGAGTACTACCCTCGGGATCCTCCAGGATAAGTACTCACACCTCAGCCTGGAAACCGTCACATTGAGTTGGGCCGTAGAACCAAAGGTCTGTGTCGTGCCTACCTAATCTTACTGCAGCAAGACAGTGAGCTGGCTGGGTGGCATCAGGGAGGTCCACCGCCCCCAAGAGTGGGGCCGAGTCTCGTCATTGCCATGTCCCCAGCAGGGTAGTGAGCACACAGCGGGTGCTACAGAGATGCTTGTTGCAGGCTGGCTGAGGGACTGAAGTTCCCTACACTGAGACCTTCGGGCAGGTGTGGGTAGAGGTCAGAGACCTGAAGAGGTCTAGGTTAGAATTAATCCACTGCCTAGCATCTTCTCTCAGCTTGTCAGAGCAAACACACACTCTTAAATTTGTCTTAAATCTGAGTGAAGGCATGATTATCTGAAGCACTCATTTTCAAACATTTGGAGAATTTCTTGACAGCACAACCATTTCATGCAAAGCTCTATGTGCAAGGTCCCTATGTGAAAACTTACAGGAAACTCAGAGCCCTGGTGACGTCCCGGTGCCTCGCCTCCTCCCCTCTCCCCTCTTCCTGTGCCCCAACAGTGACTCACATGGTTGCTCTCAGCAAATGCTGTCCTGGCAAAATGGAGACCTATGCCCTCAGCATCCCTGGGGGGAGCAAGTCATCTGGCTCCTTGTAAAAACCTGTGCCAGGTACAGTGTTCTCAAGCCCAGTGTCAGCCTCTCTGAGCCCACATGGATGCAGATTCTTTCCCAGGGAGCCCCATCCACTCTTCACCTGAGGATTCTTCCCCCATGTTCCCTACCATCCAACAGAACACACATTCCTTCTCTGTGTCCCCTCCTCCTGCCTGCACTGGGGAGCCAAGGATTCTTAAAGCACTTCCCAGTCACATGGGTACTGTGGCCCCCTCGCCGGCAGCAGGGCAGCAGAAACTGCCTGCTGCATAATCCCGCTTCGTTTTCTTCTGTTCCCCTCCACAGGGCTGGGCACCAGCCTCTAAATTAATAGATTCTCTTCATATAATTGAAGACATGTTAAATAATCATCACCATAATTACCTCTGAGCATCAGAAGGCAACACTAGCAATGTGATGTTGGAGAAGATAGAAGGGAAGTTTAAAATTCTCATGAAAGAAAACACCCATCTTGGTGTTTCCCTGACTTTGCGTTTCCTTTTGCTCTGCCGCTGAGGTCAGCTTCCTTGTGTTCTTCTGCTGAGTGGGGGAGCCGGTTATGACAAGCTGTCAGCTGCCTGTCCAGAGGGGCTCTTCTTAGAGACTAGGACACCTGCTGGGATGGCAGGCATGGCGGTGACAGGCCAAGCTCCATGTTCAGTGAGGCCCAACAGCGCAAGGTGGCAGGAGGGCTGGGGGCTGCTTGCTGTGGGCCTGGCACTGCCACTTTCCAGGCAAGAGGGAGCAGCTCCACAGCTGTCACTGACAGCCCCTGGGGTCTGCTCCAGACTTGGCAGAGGAGGACATTTCCAGACTCCCAAATCAAATGCCTCTTTGAAATTCAGAAGAACCACACTTTTACACTTTCATCTTCCTCCCTCCTCTGACACAAACACACACAAAAGCTTAGCTAGGCCTCTTTCCCCTTTACTCATAGACCCACACTGCCACGTTCCCCGTCTCGCGCTCTCTCACACGTATCGATAACTTCTCACTCACACAGAATCTCACATTCTCTCTCTCTCACACACACACACTTGCAGAATCGCATTATACTAATTAAACTTCTGCTCTCTCCTACCTCATTTGACCCGAGCATTTTGAGAGAACAAAGAACCCTCTCCTTTTGAGGAGCCCAGGGTGTCTCAAGGTGTGGCATCAGCCCCTCCCTTGATGGTGACACACAGCATGGGTCTCTAAGCTGTTGGACACTGGCCTCCAGGTCACTGGATGAATTTTCCACCTCTCTTCCTAGGCATGGGTACCAAGTAGATAAAACTAGTAAGTTCCTTCTGGAGGTGGGTGAGAATAGAGCATCCTGTTGCAGCTGCAGCCCAAGCCTGCCCTCCAGGCATTTGTCACGTTGCTGGCATTTGAGCTGAAGACATCTCCCACCACAAAAGCCTGCCATCATCCTCAGGGAAATCAGGCCTGTCTTCCTTGCAGAAATCTGTGTATGTGCCTGGGGAGGTCCAGGCCAGGTTCCTTCCCAGCTCCAATAGGAAACCAGATAAAAATATACCTTGCAGTTTGCTCCTGGCCCTCCCCGCCCCCTTTCTCCCTCTCTTTCTGGCTCAGATTAACTATTTATACATTTTAAGGTATGTTTGCTAAAGTCCCCCATGTATCTTTGGTAATTCAAGTAGATTATAAGAATGGTGTGTATAAAAATAGTCTTCATCAACAGAAAAATGAAACAAATGTGGAGAGGAGTAAGGGGGCTGCTGTCCTGTGCTGTGCTGCCACCTCCCACCACCAGCAGCAGGTGTCATATACTACTGTGTTTCCCCAAAAATTAGACCTACCCAAAAAATAAGCCCTAGCAGGATTTCTATGCATTTGTTAAATATAAGCCCTACCCTGATAATAAGACCTAGTGATAGGCCATGCATTTCACTGTGAATAAGACATCCCTTGAAAATAAGCCCTAGTGTGTCTTCTTGAGAAAAAACAAATATAAGATAGTGTCTTATTTTCGGGGAAACAGAGTACGGAGTAAGCAGAGATCAGGTATGGAGAAAGCACTGTGGAGGTGAATTCTCCCTTGGCGTAGAGAATTAAAAATGAGGATCATATTTCTTCCAGAGACTGGTGAGCTTGGGAGAGCAACCTTAGCAGGAGTTCCACTTTCATATCTCTAGGCAGCAGTGATCCTGGGCAGGACAGACCTGCTCCGTGCTCACCTCCCTCTACTCCCCTTAGGGATTCTGTGCCTCAGCCATGTGGGCTGCTTGTGCTCTTTCTTTCTCACCCCCAGCCTTTGTACATGCTTTCTGCTGGTACTTCCCTCCTTCCTTCACTCGGCCTGCTTAATTTCTACTCATTCTCTAGGGCTGAGCATAGTGACAGTAATAGTCTGACTACACAGGTGCTGATGAGAAACTGAGGCATGGAGAATAGTGAGTCCCCATCACACAGGTAGAAAGGGGCAGTGCTGGTACCTAAGCCCAGCCAAAGGCTTCAGGAGTTCTTAACCACTGCAGGAAGGGAGTCCGTGGCCCCTCCCAGTCTCCTCTGGTTCTCATAGCACCCTATACCCACCTTCCTCGGTTTCGAGCTTTTTACCCTATGCTCCACCTTCATCTTCACCTTCCTGTTTTAATTTTTTAACAGTGCATTTTACGTTTCTGTTTTCTCATCTGCTCTCCTCACTCTCTGTATCCCTAGGGCAGGGACACTAGCTGGCTTCTCTCTGGGACACCAGCTCCTCAAATAGGACCTGGCATAAGGCAGTGGTCATCGCCTATTTGTTGACAGGGTAAATGAATGAATGGATGGATGGATATCAATCCCTTAGGTAAATGAAGCTGGTCAAGGTCTGGCAGACAAGCTGAGGGCCAAGCAGAGAGCCAAGTCAGGAAATTCCAGTGTGGACTTGGAGGCCAAGAAGGACAACTTCAAGGCAACACCTTAGAAAAGCAGTCTTGGCAGCACCTGTGGCTCAAGGAGTCGGGTGCCAGCCCCATATACTGAAGGTGGTGGGGTCAAACCCAGCCCTGGCCAAAAACTGCAAAAAAAAAAACAGAAAAGCAGTCTTCAGATTCCAGGATCTGCCCTTCAGTGGAACAGCCAGCACTAGGAAGACCACAGCACTGGGTCCCTCATGCCCTGCTGCAGCCCAGAGCTGTCTACAAGATGCAGAGTTTCCTTCTAGAGGAAGATCACAGGGAAATGATGTTGAAGTGGGCGGGTCCTCCATATTGCTATTGCTATGGCTTGCATTGCACCTTGCCAATCTCACACAGTTCTGTTGTGTTTTCTACGGTTACACATTCTCACCCTCACCTCCCTGCAGCCACATCAGAATCCATGTGCAATGAACATGGTGTGCCCAATATGGCGTGAGATCAGCTCCAACATGCTGATCTCCAGGAGCTCCTCTGAGTAGGCATACAACACAGTGTGCCATGGGGTGGGGCTTGGGATGGCCATCCTAAGACATGAGATGTGGAAAGATATGGGAGTGGACTGTACATAGCAAGGTCTTTTCACCTGCTTCCAACCAGAAATCTAATGGTTGGGCTGATCATGTTTCTCCTTCTTCCAGGGTGGAAAGATCCCTGTGAGATGGACGGCTCCAGAGGCCATTGCCTACCGCAAGTTCACTTCAGCCAGCGACGTCTGGAGCTACGGGATTGTCATGTGGGAAGTCATGTCATTTGGAGAGAGACCCTACTGGGATATGTCCAACCAAGATGTGAGTGTCAGCAGCACCTGATTGCCACCACATCCCTTCCAAGGAGTTACAGAGTCAGTAGAACCCCAAGCCCTCCTGTTCTGAGCTCAGGGCCTTACAACCTGAACTTGAGGAATTCAGGGCAGGGGATGCAGGGATATCCTCTGGATGGGTATTTAAACTAATCACAGAGCCCAGCATGGAGATGTGATAGTTCCAATGACCACAAAGCCTGAGAGGTGTCCAAACTACAGATTCCAACCCAAAAGACAATAAGCTGGTCCTGAATGGCCATGGATCATGAATTTGTCAGGCCCCAAATTAATCAAGAATCTCTACCCTGCTTCTCAGAGCCCAAGTCTGTGTTCTTCTTCCTGGTGGATGATAGGAGGGAAGGGGCGCTGGTCACAGGGCCAGGGGATGGGTCCTGACCAGCTCCACCTCTGACAGCTGTGCTCCATCAAGCCAGTTGCAGTTTATATCTTGGACTCATAGTCCTTTAAGGAGAGTAATTGCAAAGAATCCTTCTCTGAGAATTCACTCCTTTGTGAGACTGTGTCAGCTGTTAGTGAAGGAGGAGATAAGAAGGCTTCCCAAAGTTGGTCAGCTGCAGATGGCCAGAGGAGTGGGGCCCTGTCTACGGGAAGTCAAGGTTGCCCTCATGGGACAAGAGCAGGAAAGGAAAGAGCAGGGTTACCTGAGATGCTTTAAGTAAAGGCGTTTTGGCACTGTTCCAAATGGGATTCTCTGCTCCATAATTACAAAAGATGGAGAAGTCTTTGTAGGATGATTGCTTTGAAAAGGCTCCAATGGAAAGCTGTGCTTGGATTTCAACAGCTCCAGTGGCCCTGGGATATTCTCCAGAGACCACCACTCTTCTGCATTTTGAGTACATACCCTCCTCTTGCAGCGGAGAGGATCTCAGCTTGCAAAGCCTACATACTTGCTCTCCCCATCACTTTAGGGGAGGTTATTTTTTCCAACTCATAGATTAAAAGAGGAAGGGCTTTCCCCAGTCCAGATCTAGGTCCACTGGGCACCCAGCCACACTGTAAGCACCTCCATGCTTGGGTGGCCTCTGAGGTGCTCAGAAGCTTGTGGAATCCATAGCTCCATATCCAGCCAGAGGCTTATCACCATGGTAGTTTCTCAAAAGGTTGAGAAAGGTGGCAGTTTCCCAGTGAAACTGTGCCAGGGGAGCTGGGGTACTTCTGTGACAGTATTCCTTGTTGCCACTGGCAGAGTGGCTCCAGCTGGGTGAAATGGCTGCATCCTTAACCAGGTCCCGATGACAACCACAGGCAATATCTAGGTCCTCTATTATCTATGATCAGCCACGCCTTGCTTCTGTTCTTGTAACCTGTCAAAGCAGTAGGTGTTGGAATCAACACAGGTTGCTTTCATGAAATCAGTGTCAGCAGCACCCTGGTTCTATACATACCGTCTGCTAGATGTATAAGAAATAATAGCCAGGAAAAGCAGACCCATCTTTTCCCACCCAAGATCTTAATCGGATTAAGAACAATTCAGCTCACAGAGAATGGATTACAAAACTGTCTGGCAGGCAAGCTTTGACATTCATGGTATTTTCTGTCAATGCATTTGCCTATGTTGAAAACAAATAGAATTTCTGATAATAGACTTCCAGAATCTCCAAATTATTCATTGCGCACACAGTCACTATATACTAATTGTGACTCAGCAGTATGCTTGCTAGTTCTGCTCCTGAGGGGTTTATAGTCCAGTGGCTTATACATGGGGCATTGGGAACACTCAAAGGAAGGGAAGGGAAGGGAAAGGAGGGGAAGGAAAGGCTTCTCAGATAGTTGACGTTTGAGATGGGTCTCAGAGGGAATAAGAACATCTGTAAAGTAGCAATTTGTTCTGATTTTACTGTATTTGTCCAAAATAAAGCCCCTAGTGCAATTCTGCTTCCTATAGGAGGCAGGAGGTGACTTCATGCTCATTCAGAAAGCTTCTTACAACCTGGCCTGGGAAAGGAGCAGCTCCCAGCTGCTGGGCTGCAGCTCCACTCACCAGAAACTGCCGAGGTGGTGTCGGTAAAGGATGTTACAGATGACAATTGAAAGGCTTTAAGAAAGAGAATTGCAGAGGCAAGTCAGAGTGCTGGTAATTAGGATTCCAGAGCCCAGGAAGGTCTTTGAACATGTACAGAGAGTTTGTCAGCCAGAGAGAGCAACTTGGAAGTTCTGCTGCTTGGATCTGATTGACAGAGATAATGAGAGTGGCAGTGTCTGTGGAGAGAAGCTGCGGTTTTATTGAAACATCAGAGCTCAACTTAACCCGCTCTGCCCTGGTTCCTCCACTGCTCTGAGTTCCTTCACTTCACTCTCCTCAGTGGAAGGTCGAGTAGGCACCACCCACAGCCCAACTCACTAATGCGGGGGGGTGTCCATGTGTGGGGCCGGCCAGAAGGCCCCACTGAGGATGCTAGGGTAAGGGGAGGGGCCTGCTCATTTACCAGAGGAGCTCCAGTCAATTCATCTGGTGCCCAAGACCGCCTGTGCTGGATCCCCTCCCAACCCCCACACCTACTCTGTCTGGATGTAGGTGAACCAAGGTCACACCTCACCCCACCTCATCCCTGGCCCTGGGATTTTTACTTATATTGACCTTCAGGATGGCCAAAAGGGTTGCTATAGATCATTCAAAGTGAGATAGCAGTGAGCTCAGGGTAAGTGTTGCCTGGACTGGCTCTCTCACCCACAATCTTCCACTCTTACTTTTCTCTGGAAATGCCATCTTATGTCCTTCTAATCTCCAATCTTCTTACCCTTCATTTATCTCATTCTATTATGGATGAAGGAAAGAGATCCATAATTCACTCCAGGTTTCAACTCTGGTCAGTATAACACACTATGCCCCATATCTTCGGCCGTATCTATCCCTCCAGTTCAAACCTGGTCGCTGGTTCAGAGCCATCAGATGACCATATTGGAGATGTTTCTCCCCACTGCCTCCCTGTCATCCATACCTCCTAGCATGGCATGTGAGACAGAGAATAATCTCAAAGTCCCATGAGAAAAGCAAAGTTATTTTTTTGATATAATGATGTTTTAATTTGACTCTTAAGTTATATGTACTCAAGAAATTAAGAAAATGCCCAAATCCTTAAGAAGACAATACACATCTCCAAAGGCAGCACACTTCAAAGATCTGTGCAGATAAATGCTATCCATCTACCAATTAATGACCTTGGTATTTTTTTCTTTGGAGTAGAGGGTATCGGCTATTTTTTTTTTTTTCCTTTGTGCAGGCAGCATCCGTGCTCCCAGGCTATCAGTTTTGGTAATAACAAGAAAATTACTTAGAAGAAGTAGCAAATGAAGTGCCATTTTATAAACATAAGTGTGGGAGGAGGTCCCCATAGCTATATTCTATCCTGAAAGGTGAGAAATGGGGATGTGGCATCCCCATGTACTAAGTCTCTTTCTTATTCTTGAGCAGGTAGGAGAGTTATCTTGTAGGCAGGGACAGTTAGTATTTTGAGGCTCTGGCACCAAACAATTTAGGCAGAAGTGCCATTAGTTGAGGGATACACTAATAATACTATCTACCTTGCACTAGAAGACTTTAGCATCCCCTAACGCTATTATGAGTTAAATTTGGACACTAGTTCCCCTCACTGGCCCCAATGAGCTTGCCCTTAGGTAACCAGAAAGGATTCATGGGGACATTCAATGGGTCATCCCACTTGTCCTCACAATGAGTGGAGACTTCGTGACCGGGACCTTCAATCTGTTGCCTAGAAGGAGCTTGAAAATGGTACAGGTTTCTGTGCCAGGCTGATGGGAACGATACCCGGCTGCTCCCTCTCATGGATTACTTAGTTCAGCTCTGTACCCCTATTTCATGCCACAAAGACATCAAACAGGTCCGGGGGCTGTTCTCCAGGCTCAGATCGTCACCGCAGCCTCCTGGAGACCTCATACGTGTGGCTTTTGAGGTATTTAAAAATTAAAAACCAGCACCCCTCTGACTTATTCCCAGCCCATCATCTAAGTGGTGTGCGCCTTTGGACAAATCACTTTAATGTTCTTGCCCTCCTTTTTTTCTCATGGGGTTAAAATACCCTCCTCAGGGGATAGTAGGGAGTTTGATTGACAACAGTTTGGGGGAGATGAAAATGTGTCAGTTCTACACATTGTTCAAAAGTGAATGTTCCCAGTCACTGGATTGTTTTTAATACAGTGATGATATTGGCAGGGTTGGTACACTTGTTTTCCATCATGTGGAGGGGAAGGAACAATGCACCGTGATTGTCTCTGATGACTTCAGGTTATCATATTATCTCGTGCCCTAGCTCATGTCCCACGTACTGTGCATAGAAATTGCGAGAATGTCAACTAATTCAAAATATTCATTTTTTTGAACAATTTATGAAGAAAAAAATAATAAGTTGCAATGAATCTGATTTTTTAATAGAGGCAAAACACCAGAAAATCCCTGACCTCCAGATTGTTTCCTTTGTTGTTTAAGGTGCTTGAGCTATTTATTTTAATATAAAATCAATGCATGCTTATTATGAGAAATAAAAAATACAAACAAGCAAAAAGGAAAACATAAAGAACATTCATGTTCCTACCTCCCCACAGGCAACCACCATGAAATCCATGCTGTATAGCCTTCCAAGGTATTTTCTACGGCTGTGAATAATTGTTGGGTTTTATTTTGTTTTGATTCTTGGTTTTTATACAAAAGCAGTATTATACCACCCCCAGCAATTATGCAGCCTGCTCTTTTGCCTAATATAATAATGTATATCCATTTCAATAGATACATTTTTTGCAGTATCATTTTAAAGCCTGCCTTGTATTTTAGCCTTCTATTGTATGCTAGAAGTAGGATCATTTACAATTGTTTTTGTTAATGTGAAAAGATCAGAGCAAATGTAATTGATTTACCTGAATTAGAAATTAAGAAGTACAGGATGAAAATACAAAAATCTGAAGAACAAAGTTCTCAAAGCTCCTAGAATCCTTACAAAATTATCCCCTAGAATTTGCAAAAATAACCAAAACTTGATTGGGGACGTTATTTTTGACTACTGGCTGCCTCATAAGGATTAAAGCAGATAACGCCTAGGAGATATCTAGAGCAGGAGTCCCCAGCCTTTCTGGCAACAAGGACTGGTTTCATGGAAGACGATTTTTTCACAGGGGATGGTTTGGGTATGATTCAAGGGCATGGTATTTCCACCTCAGACTATCAGGCATTAGACAGCTTCTCATAAGGAGCGTACAACCTAGATCCTTCCCATGCACAGTATGCAGTCGGGTTCACACTCCCGTGAGAATCTCATGTCACCGCTGATCTGACAGGAGGCAGGGCTCAGGCAGTGACGCTAGTGATGGGGAGTAGCTGTAAATACAGAAGAAGCTTCTGTCTTTTCAGCTGCTCTCTGCTGCGTGCCTCCTGCTGTGCAACCTGGTTCCTAACAGGCCACAGACCCAGCACCAGTACCGGGGGTTGGGCACCGCAGAACTAGAGGGTCTCTGGCACTGAGTGGGTGCTCTATCAGTGCTAATCTCCTTCCTTCTTTCCTGTGGAAATGAAAGAATGGGGATGTCTTTTATAATAGTGGATTCACTGGGTTTCCCACATGTCACTGTTTCATCACCTCAAGTGCCACCAGCTTCCAGTAAGGTAGCACCGGGCTCTGTGTCTCCTAAAGAAAGAAGATGCTCATTCCTCAACATTTACAGAGATCTAGTGTGTGCGGCCTACACCAGGTGGTGAGGGCACAAAGAAGCAATGTGATCCCTGCTTTCAAGGACCCCACACTCCAGGGGGATCAACCAAGTACACAGAAAATTCATTATGAGAGGGGTGTGAGCCCAGAACAGGGCACCTGAGCCAGCTCAAGCCAGGGAGACTACCTGGAGGCTAAGGTGTGAATGATCGGCTGGTGGCTCATCTTCCAGTCAACACCTGTTCCTATGTGTCCCTGCAGGTAATCAATGCCATTGAGCAGGACTACCGGCTACCTCCACCCATGGACTGCCCAGCTGCTCTACACCAGCTCATGCTGGACTGTTGGCAGAAAGACCGAAACAGCCGGCCCCGCTTTGCAGAGATTGTCAACACCCTGGACAAGATGATCCGGAACCCAGCAAGTCTCAAGACTATGGCAACCATCACCGCCGTGTGAGTCTGGTGAAACAGGGTGATTCCCAGATGTGGTTGGTTTTATGGTCAGGAGCATACCAGCAACCCCAGCAACCTCTGATTGTGTCCACATCTGCACTTGTTTTTGTTGCTGGGGATTCATTGAGGGTACAAAGAACCAGGTTACACTAATTGCTATTGTCAGCCAAAATCCTTCTTATAATTATGCTCCACCCCCAAGTGGCGTGCCACACACTGTGATCCCCCCACACATCTGCATTCTTAAAAAGAGCATCTGGCTACAGTGTAAACTTTATGTTAAGGGGAATAAGCATAGACAGAGAAAGACAGATAGGAGAACATTGCAATGATTATGATAGAGAAGACAGCATCTCAAATAAAGGTAATGGCTACGAAAAAAAGTGGATGAGTTTGAGAGATGTGGGACGCAAGATTTTTATGAGTTGGTGAAGAGCCAGATATGGGCCTTGAGGATGAAGGAAATGGCAAGATGCACCCTGATTTCTAGTTTGGGTACCTGGGAGTCTGCTTTGAGAATGTGGAAGGTGGGTTCGACCACTGCTCCATTTTCCTCAAGTATCTAAGGATGAAACCAAGAAAAAAATACGTGACCTCTAGGGAGGTTGTAGTGAATGGTCCATATTTTTGAAGGTCTCTGTGGTTTGGTGAGGCTTAGATTTCACTTTACAAAGGAGTTGGGAGCCTCTGCTTCCATGTAGACTCAATCCTATGTCAGTCTTCCTGACTGGGTTGAATGACCTCTGACAATTCCCAGAGGTCGGGGACTGCCCCCCTGGCTTTAGAAGTCACATCAGTTCAGGATTCTGTAAAGAAGAAAGGGCCATCCCAGGACTCTAGCATGATCCTCAACCCATGAGGGATGCTGCCATCAATGAAGTTTGTGTGAGGCCAGAGCAAGGCTCTGTCCAGGTGTCTCTACAGCTATGAGGTCACCTGCTCCCTTTGTCTCTCCAGGCCTTCCCAACCCCTGCTCGACCGCTCCATCCCCGACTTCACAGCCTTTACCACCGTGGATGACTGGCTCAGTGCCATCAAAATGGTTCAGTACAGGGACAGCTTCCTCACCGCTGGCTTTACCTCCCTCCAGCTGGTCACCCAGATGACATCAGAGTAAGTGACAATAATCCTCTCCGTCCAACCTGCATGTAAGGGTCAGGACTCCTTCCCTGCTGCTGTAGAGTCTGTGAGTCCTACTTCTGCCCTTGTCCTCAGGCTCCTCCTCTGTATAGCACCAGTCCTAGGGGGGCAGGGCAGGTGCCTTGGGAAGACAAAGCAGGATGTGAGAGTGAGGTGGGGCAGTGGAGATCCATTCTAGGCACCACATGAGAGTTCTTCAAGGTCATAGCCATATGTCATTTACCTAATCACTTAGAGCCTCTCCCCCATCTACGTTTTTAAACTTGACCCATCAAAGAGGCACCCAGATGGAAAGAACACAGGGAGCCAGCACTTTCAATAACAGAGCAGGCAAAGCACTGCACTGACTCAGCAACAGTCTCCACATGTGGGGAGCTTGTCTTCATCCCTAGATAGCACATGTCAATAAGCATACATTTCCATCCCCCTCAAATTATTTACCAGCCTGCTGCTCCCAGAGGATTTGGGGGGGAATATACAAAGTAAAATTATTTAAATAAGATGAGAGCCATGCAGTCCATCATTTCTCCAAAAATGTTCTGAATAGCACCAGTTGTGGGAAATGTTAATAGGTTCTCCTTGGGAAAAAAGGTCCCTTGGTCAAATAAATTTGGGAAATACTGTGCATTTTATCACCCTCTTGGAGATTCACTGCTCATATTAGCATTATAAAGGCCATGAGAAATCCTGAAATAAAGAAACCTATTTGGAATTATTAAATACCATGGAACCATATTTTTGAGGTGCAGGGTTTTATGAAACTGTAGTTTGGGAAATATTTATCTAGTTCCACCCCTTCCATTCAGCAGATTCTGAAATTATGTGAAATTGGTACCCACCAGTGGCAAAGCTGGGGTACAGCCTGCTTTTCTTATTGCCAGTTCCTTACCCTTCCACCTGTCTACGCCAGGGCCTCGGTGGTTCCCATATTTTGGTGCACAGTGGAATCACTGGGGGATCTTTAAAAAATGTTGATGCCTGGTTCTCACTCCCATACCTTCTGAATAATTGTGGTGAGACTTGAGCATCAGGATGTTTAAAAGCTCTCCATGTGGTTCTAATGTGCTACAACATTTGGAAACAACTGGATTAAAGTTGTCAAAGGTCAAATTTTGCCTTCTGCACTCACAGCAGCTTAGGTAATTTTACCTAAGATATTAACTCTACCCTCCTAACACACACACACACACACACATGCACACACACTCTACGTGGGACCACATGGGCTGCCTAGGCTACAAAATATATACTGGCCTACAACACACATTTACCATGGTAGAGGATCCCTCAGTCCATCAGGCAGTTGAAACATTTATGATCATCTATTATTTATCAGGTACAATTCTAGGTGCTGGGATTCCCTGCTAGGATGGGCCAGTTGCTGAGTCCTGGGAAGGAGGACCCACCCGTAGCCATTGAACTTCAGAGGGACAGCTTTCTGATGCTCAGACTGCATTAGAGTCAATCTTCATGGAGACTAGCTCCACTTCTCAAAGGTTTATTCTTTTTATAAGTGATTGAGCCTCTACCTTCTCCAGAGGTTTAAATATGCACCTAGCCTTAGACCCACTAAACATCAGAATACATTTTTTAAACCTGGGTTCATTTCTAGTGATCCCTAGAAAAGCCAGCCATTAAAGATTACTGTAGGATAGCCTAAATAAATAGACACACTCACCAGTGGAAAACCAGCTTCCCCGTCTTTCACAGAAAAAAATGGATATGCCTAGAAAGTCAGAGGGACTGGGTCTGGCATAGAAGTGGGTGTTCATGAAGACAGACGACCCCTGCTTTCCCACTGTGATCTGCTTTGGGAGACCACTGTTACGTGATCTCCCCGCAGTGGAAAGGAACTCCCTTGGTCTGGGAATAGTCACATGAGAAACAAGGAAGAGACCAGAAGGAAAGTCAAACTGAAAATTAAAGGATTCAGTTCAAAGTAAAACATGCCCTCATACTCTTGGAAGAATTCAGTTTGTTTCTTGAGAGATAATAGATGGAAAAAGAAAATCAGCAACTTAATAAAATAGATTATGGGACAATTTGTGAATCTAAAATTCAAACATGGTTTCTATAAGTGCTTTCTAAAGAGCCTTGGGCACTTTGACAGCCTTACTAAGCTGCAGCCCCTGGGAGACTGACCTCCCAGCGGAAAGGAGGAAGGGCAGGAGAGCCAAGGCACTGTGGATGGAGAGCCAGTGCAGGGCCCACCAGGGTCTGGTGTGCAGGGTAAAAAATAATCAGCTATGCTGGTGTTGGCAGTCTTGGGGGACCTTAGAAGAGTTCTGCAAGCAGTCCTGCAGGGGTGCTAAGTGCCGAGCAGTCTTGTATTTGAACCCCAACCACACCACTGCTCATTGGTCATGTGATCTTGAGGATATTACTTAACTTCTCTGAGCCATACTTTCCCTGTCTATTAATGTACAGATCATAATAGTACCTATCTCACTGGTTTGTGGTGGGACATAAATGGAAGAGCACATGGAAAGCACTTGGACTATTATCTGCCAAGGATGTATGCAAGAAACGGTTGCTGTTAAATTATAATTGGGCAATGGTCTGTCAATTTTTGTAAAATTTTCTCTTTCATGTAGGTTTAAGTGAGATAGCTTGTGGCACATGGGATGCACTCAATCAGTGTTATCCATTATCATTATTATAATTATTAGCTAGTGGAAGATGTATGGGTCTCCTAAGGTCAAATGTTAGCCCTTAACTTGATCATATCAATACTCACAGCTCACAGATTGATCCAATTCAAAGTGCTGTCCCAAACATACTCCTTAAATTCCTGCTTGGACAGATATTTTCAAGTTATTTTGAGATCACCCTTTTTAAAAATGCATGACATTAAAATTCAAACAGAGGCAGAAAATGGAAACTCGGGGGAAAACATCAGAAGACCAAGCAAGCCCCACATCCTTTCAATCTCAGTGGGTGATCACTAATTTAGGCAGAAAGATCCACAGAATAACTGAAGCCCCATGGAGTATGCACTTGGAGTGTTAAAAAAAAATTTAACACTCACAGAGGAAAATTCCAGTCCAGTGGAGGGTCTTGGACCCAATGAAGGGGCTGCTCCATAGCGTGTCCGTGAGGAACACATCCCCAGTATGAGGTGTGGCACTGCTAGGGTGATCTGAGCTCGAGGGAACATCCGAGAAGAATGCCACTGCATGGAGAAAGTGAGAAAATACATAACTGAGAGTTTTCCAAAAACTTGGGTGAACTTAGGCTACTTGGGCCTTAAACACTTTTATTTGCCTCCTTAACTATTATCAGGAGCATGGCTTTGGTGGTGAGTTGTGATCTCTGAAAAGCTGCCCTAATGCTAAAGGACTTCTTTTGTGTCTTCTTCCTTCCTAGAGACCTCCTGAGAATAGGGATCACCTTGGCAGGCCATCAGAAGAAGATCCTGAACAGTATTCATTCTATGAGAGTCCAGATGAGTCAGTCACCAACGGCAATGGCATGAAAGCTCTCGTTTTCTTGGGGGACGAGAAGAAGAAAAAGGACCAGGGTCAAGGGGAAACCAGAGGTTGACCACTGTGGAATGTGCTGGAGAGACCAGCTTCTCAGCTGAGAAATGTATTTTCATCTGTCAAGAGTCAACTGGCCCTGTTGCTAATAGGCAACCTCCATTTCTCAGTGACAGAAGCATGTCTAAGATGTCGTGGGAGACCAAATATAGCATAATAAAATATAAAAAGGTGATGTTCAACAGACGTGAAGAAAAAACAATATGCACCAGGGAGAAAGAGTAAATAAACTCAGCTCCCACCCTCAGCGGGCTGGAGTTATCCATCCACAGGAAGAAAGGGAAGGAGGTGGAGGGAAGAAACAGAAGTAGTGTTCCATTTTCTTCCTCACCAATGACATTCTTTTCTTTTCTCCTTTTGTACTCCTCCCAGAGAGCCCCCTCCCTTCTCCTACACCTGTTTCCCTTTGCTCATGACTCCCGTAGGGAAGTTTCTTCAAACGAAACCCAGCTCCTGAGTCTCCAGATGTTGTTCTGTCAGTTGCCAAAGGACTTTGCTGACCACTGCATGGGGATCCAACCAATTCAATTAATGTCTTCATATTGAAGAAAAGCTGTACCTTCAATTGAAAACCTTGTTTTTCTTTTGTTTGCATTTTCTGCAAAAAGGAAAAAGAAACCACAAATTGGGGGGAAAAAAGAAAAACCTGTTTCCATGTGCAAGAGCACGCCTATGTATGTCTGCGTTATAAAATGACTGTGCTTGTTCGTAACCGATGCAAACAAGAAAGAATAACTGGAAGGTCTTGGTCCCTGGGAAATCCAAAGGGGAAGGAGTGTGTTGTTGGTTTGACTTTCTGGTTGGGGAAGTCCTGGTCCTCTTTCCCAGGACTCAGCAACTGGCCTGTCCTAGCAGGGAATCCCAATTGGCCTATTGGCTAAATGGGAAGAGAGGCAAGGGAGAAAAATAAAAGGAAAAGGGAAAAAAAACTCTCAAGAGTTTGCAAATTCAGACAGGAAACAGGTGAGTGGTTTGAATTGGAGGCAGTGTGGGCCATTCTAGAATGATACTGACTGATTAGTTGCTCTTGATAACATCTGAAGAAAAGGAGAAGGAAAATGTTTCTGGAGAATGTTCTTCCACATCCCTGGAATCTGCAGTTGGAGAGGTGGCAAGGGAGAGTTCTTGCCTTACCTGCAGACTGGCTTACGCCACGTGGCATCCGAGGAATGTTTCCGATGTGTCTGTGTTTCTCTTTACATTCCTTATTGTACCTCATTGTTCGATTCACTTTTGTAAATTCCACCTAACATTTAAATATTTTTAATTTCTCCCTTTACCTTAATCTCCTTGCTAATTTTATCTGTCTAATTAAAATGAGCAGCAGCATGTCTGGGTTTACATAGAATGGTGTCAAAGTGTGTGTCCCTGGACCCCAGTAGGTTGTCCCCCAAATCGAAGAGAATCCTTCCTTTCTTCCCTCTACTGGGGGATGGAGGGAAAGAACACATCCCTGACCCTGTGACTCCCAAGGAGCAGAATATATTAGACTCCCTGGCACTGATGTGACCCAAAGGAAAAACTGAATAAATATGAGGCTCTGAGGATTCAAACAAGAGGCATAAGAAATCACGGGCAAATAAACATACACAATCACCCAGAATCCATGATTAGCCATGACTAGTTTACACACTGCATCCAGGCCAATTCTGTAAAATTTAGATGGCTTGCTTGTGGTGTATCTATGGATGTGCAGTTGGGGATGGAAAGATGCCAGGTAATAAAAGTTGCTATGGTTCCCAAGAAGCTCATTTGATACATTTTTAAGGTGGTATTACCCTTTTCGTGTAGTCCTCGGTAACTTTGATTTGAGGAGAATCTTTCTCCTTAAGTCACTGGCCGAGATTCACTACAGCACAAACCACTTTCAAAGAAGCTCACAGGCCTAGGGCTACAGCTGCAGTTTGGGAGAGCTCGTCTTTAAGCTCCTGGAGGACGGCAGTTAAGCTGTCAGCATGTTCACATATGGCTGCAAAGAGCTTCACCCAGCAAGGCGGGTAGAAGAAAAAACTTTTCTTTATTAATTGCTTACCAATTCCATGCACAATTTACTAATTACCCCAAAGACGTCAATCCATGAAGTGTCTTACAAGCCTAGGCAATTTGGTTAATCTACTCTCAATTTTCCACAGGAATGAATTTTAATTTGTTACCAAATTCCTCAGGCAGAATCTTTAACTCAAAATCCTCACTGCACCTCCACCAATGACAATCCACCTCTGTCTCTGGATAAGGCAGGTAGAGGTCCTCTCAAGCCCTTGGCTTTAGTTTTGCCATAAGATCCCAGAAAGGAGAAAATGAGAACCCCAAGTGCACAAGAGGAAAAAGCATGAGGGGTCAACAGAGCCAAAGTCAGGTAATCTCAAGACACAGTCCTCAGAGAGGCAGGCCTGCCTGCACAAGACACACCCTCACTCTGATGGTGCCCCGGGTGCCCCAGGTGCCCCGGCTATCCCACCCCGGGTGAACCACAGGAGCACATGAAGTGTGAGGGGGAAATGAGGTGTGTCGCTAGTGAGCAAGACCTTACACATTACCCCTGTAGCACTGGGCCAGTCATGATCCTCTCTGAGCCTCAGTTTCCTCATCTGTTTAATGGGAAAGTAATACTTGCCTAGGATAAAGAATAGCTCACATTCCTGAGTAGGTTCTCCACGTCAGGCACTTTGCTCAGTGCTGTGCATGCGTGAACGCTCTTCTTCACTGTCATCTTGTGAAGTCGTAGGTAGGAGATAGTCTATCATTTCCAATTTGGGGATGAAGAAACTGAGAGCCACACAATGATGGAGCCAGGATACTGACACAGGCAGTCTGTTCCCTGCGTCTAACTTCTGCCTCACCTCAAGCATGCGTGTGCACTGGCGTCACTAAGAGGGACTGTGACGGCAGATCACAGGCCCCACCTTTGGGTCCCTGATTCAACAGGTATGGAGTAGAGCCCAAGAACTTGTACTTCTCACAAATCGCTAGGTGGTGCTGATGCTGCTGGTCCAGGTACCACATTTTCAGAACCACTGCTCTACACTAACCTATCTTTGTGTCCCAGAGAACGATAGTCAGGGAGGTTCTTGATATACCCAGGAGGAGAGGAATGAAGCCTCACACTCTTGGGCATGCAGTGATGGCAGAGGTTGAGGTCCTGTGACCTCCTGCCCAGAGGCATCTATGGCTGTTGGCACTTTTGGCTCCTCAAGGAGCTCCCTGGGGAGCATTCTGACTGGCAGGGGGACCCCAGTCTTCTAGACTTTAGCTACACTTGCTGCCTTATCATCGGCAGAGGATTAAATACAATTTTGGCCATTTCTTAAAAACATACTTTACACAGTGGTCAGTGCCCCATGGCCCTGAGTGTCAAGCTAAAGAGATGAAATCTGCAGCAATGCTGTGCAGCCAGGGCATGGCTCACAGAGAGGGACCACTGAGCCAACGCTTGCTAGGATTCAGGTGGGTGGAGATCCCATGGGGGCAGGTGGGAGAGATTTATTTGATGCTCCTAGGTCAGTGGTTATTGAAGTGGAGGTGATTTGTGGGGAAGTCTGGAGATTATGACCACCTCCCCTCTGCCTTCTCCCTGCCTCTTCCAACACGTAAACAGAATGACCAGTAGAGAGGAGGAGAGTAGATAAATCTCCAGTGCACATTTATGGCATCATCTGGGTGTCCCTGAAGCTCATAGATGTCAAATAGGTTCATGCACTGCTGAAATTATATGCTACTCTCCACCTCCCCCCCCACAACATTATGTATAGAGCTGGGCACTGGGCTCCTGCTGAGGTCATCTGAGATAACTGAAATTAGATGAAGACTAAAAGTTTTCCTTGACAATGCACTTGTGAAGAGAAGAAAGAAACCAATGAGAACTGAGGAATAGGATTCCAGGGGTCAGGAAGAGTGAGACATAGAGCAGGAGGGGAAATATATACAAAGGATCATGTCTATGCAAGATTCTAACAGCTCCATTTCATTCTAATAAGGCCTTTGTGGGTTAGCCCCAGTATTTCATCAGCATTTTAGAAATACTAGTTGCTCTGGAAGCACCTGGCAGAGGGCATGATTAGGTCCCTACAAAGGAAGTGAGGGGAGGTGTGGCATGATGTGCACAGTCAACAGGCACAGCAAACATCCACTGTACTGTGTCTTTAAAGGATACCTTATATGAAAAGAGGGCTTAAGATTCGTGTCAGGGTGAGCTTTGCATTTACTGAGCCTCGTAGTTCATATCCAAATTACAGGGTCATTTTCAAAAGTAGCCAGAAGTTTGCATTGTTCAAGATATCAGTGGAATTGAGTGTGGGTACAGGGGTAAAGGGGAGTCCCTGAGGTCACAAAATCTGTCAAAGTGGCCAGGGGCATCTCAAGCACAGTGGAAGGTCATTGAAGTTGGTTGAGGTCAAATGGCCATTGTGTTCAGGGAGTCTCTTAACCAGCAATTTACAAATGAGAACAGGTGCATAGAAGTCTGAGAATAAACTCTCGGGACCTCTCAGACAATACATGCCCTAGTTGGAGGGGGTATGTGATCTGTAGACCTCGACGAAGGGTGGATAGGATGGACAGCCCCTGCGCAGGGGTAGATGGGCCTCCTTTACACATCTGGGAAAGAGAAGAGTCCTCCACTCTGGCAGCCCCCTGGACTGGCTTTGCTATCACAGGCCTGTGATGGATTCTCATGCCTTTGGGAGCATGACTTGGCACATAACCTTCCACCAGAACCTCCCAGTAATCCTCAAAGTCAGGGTGAATATAGTGTCTGTCCTTCACACCTGTGAACCCTGCACTTAACATACTGCCTGATGCGTGGAAGACAGTTCAATCACATGTTTGGTTATTGAAATAAGTCTGAATTGAGAAAGTTTAATGTGTCATTATTTTACCTGCAAAAGTCTCTGACCTTAAACAGCGTGATTTAAAATAAATTAATCCCTAGATATTTAGCTGGAATCTTTCTCAATTACTCTTAACTGCTATCATTCGTAGCCTATTCTAATTTTAGCTTTGTGAAGTTTAAACCATTTCTTTTCAACCCTGTCTGAATCTTTAACACAATGTCACAATCCCCCGAGCTCCAGCCTGGGATAGAGCAGCCTCCTGCAGAGTGTCAGTCACCGTGCAAAGGCCCTGAGATTTAGAAATGAATCTGACACAGTCCCTGGTACAATAGAGGAAAGTATGAAGGGCAGTGAAGGACACAAGCAGGGGGTGGTCTGTCCTTCTGAGAGCAGAATCCAGGCTGTGTCCTGCTGGGTGACATCTGGCTGGGCAGAGGGTATGGGCAGGACTTGTCTGGCCAGGGAAGCTTCCTTGGGGTGTTTTACAGCCCCCTCTATGCAAGATTTTCTTTCAAGAGTTGTTCATCCTTTCTAAAGCCATCATTTCTCCAAGCATTCCTGTTGCCTGTTTCTCACTAGAAGGAAAAAGTAAAGTTGAAATAAGGAAACAAAACATGGGCAAATAAGCTACTTCAAAGCTATTGAGTTACAGAGCCCATGCTATTCTATTTTCCTAAAAGGAAGAGGTTCTCTTCAGCCCAGCAAGGCTTTGATTTCTTCTTCAGGTCTTATTTAAATTCATATTTGCATGTTCACAAACAACTGGTGTAACTTTGGACATGGCATTGTGACAGAGAATATG